CGATGAGTGAACAGTCGAACTGACAATAGCTAATAGCGAGCGCCTTTTATAGCGCTCATTTCCCGCGCATTGAGGTCGCAGGCGCCTCAGCGAGGGCAGATCATACGAGAAAACAACTGATCAGACACTAACACAACAATTTGTATCTCTAAATTTTCGTCTATTTTTCTGAAACAACCTTCACTTTTTATAGGGGGCAAGAACTCAAACAACTATCACTTTCTAGCCCTTGTCTCTTGACTATCGAAGGTATGGCCATGGCCGATTGCCAATCGCCCGATGGAACGCCTGCATATCGACTTCGCTGGACCACTTTATGGTCACATGTATCTCATCATCGTGGACGCTTACTCCCGTTGGCCCGAAATCGTGGAAATGAAGTCGACAACATCATCAGCCACCACACGGGAACTACTAAACTTTTTCAGCATGTTTGGATTCCCAGAAACGCTTGTTTCAGACAACGGCACTCAATTCTCTTCCCAGTATTTCGAAGATTTCTGCAGGAAGTACAGTATCAAGCATATTAGGACGCCACCGTTCCACCCACAATCGAATGGACTTGCTGAACGCTTCGTTGGAACTTTCAAGAGAGGAATTATGAAACTAAAGGGAGAAGGAAACCTTTCTGAAGCCTTGTCGAAGCTATTACTCTGCTATCGGTGTACGCCCTGCCCGTCTTCGCCAGATAATCGTTCCCCGGCCGAGATGTTTCTTGGACGAACGATTAATACTCCGCTCACACGTTTGGTCACTGACGCTCAGACTGTTAAACCAAGCTACTCCCCCGGAACGAATCCTAAGATGGAAGCTCAATACAACCGCAGACACGGAGCCAAGAAGAAACACTTCGATGTCCATGATGCTGTTTACGCTCGCGACTACCGCAATCCAGCAAAGCCTACTTGGACCCCAGGAATTGTACAATCAAGGATTGGACGCTCGCTCTACAACGTAGGAGTTGAAGGATTCATATGGAAACGCCATGCCAACCAGCTACGTCCTCGAATAGTCCCCGATGCTACCAGCACGCTATTGGGAGAGTTCAGTCTTTTGGATTTTGAGCTCCCCAGACAGTCGACTCCCGCCGTGTTCGTTGATGTTCCTGTCGCCGACGCCAGTCACACGGATATTGCGCTGCCAAATCCTGATACTGCTGCGGCCAATGCCGAACCCAGGGACGCTGATGAATCCATCAGTCGAAGGTCTCCTCCTCCTGTTCGTCGCCGCTCGCAAAGGATTCGTCAACCACCACGCCGCCTCAAGATCGACCCATCGAAGAAACGATACAGTGATTAACTTAAGGAGGGAGAGGTACAACCGCAGACACGGAGCCAAGAAAAAGGAAGCTCTTATATAGTCCTCTAAGGATTGTTGTAAACAACACAAGAGATATATACAACAGAGGTTCATTTACTACCAGCCTAATATCACTCTACAACACTTTTCTTTGAAATACAGCCTGCTTCTGTGTAATGACAATCTTAACTTTGCATCTGAAAGCTATTCGAACACTTGCTGTATGCGCTATTTGAATTTTTGCACCGTGAAGGCTGTATTTTATCCTAATGGTACCACTGCGCAAACTTTGAAGTATTTTGAAATGCCATGTAGTAAACCCTTTACGACCATATGTCTCTCTTACTCCCACGGGAATAAACGTTGCAAAACTTTGAGAAGTCATGAATGGATAATAACTACAATACCACTCTCATAACGTGCAAAATTTCCGTGAATGTCGCGAAATTCCGAAATTTCCGCGAACTTTCCGGAATTTCGTGAAATTCCGGGAATGTCGCGAAGTTTCGCGAAATTCCGGAAATTTCGCGGAATTTTCGGAATTTCGCGACATTTTCGGAATTTCGCGACATTTACGGAAATTTTGCACATTCTGTGAGCGGTATTGTATTCGACGTGCTAACAACATTTCTTACATTGTTTTGCTGCTAGTGACACATTGTAGGATAGAATATCTGCCAACACGACTTTTGAATTTGAAAGACAATTCATGAGAAGGCGATTTTGTAACATCATAATCTGACGAACAATTCAAATAAAGATCTGTGCTAAGCATGGTCCGATAGAGGTGTTCACAAAGTTTTGAACTCACAAAAATTTGCGGACAATTTCCGCAACAGGTAGGCGAAAAGTGCAGGCGAAGTTGCGATCTTGATTGGTTTAGCTACTTCTATCTCACTTTAGCTTTACTGTAAGACTCTCTAGTGCAAAATGAATAGGATTTTCGTAAAGATCGGGACCAAAAACCACTATGAGCGAAGTTTCCGGTCAATCCGAGAACCTAATATTTTCAACCAAATCTTGCGCCGAGGCCAAGAGTGAGGAGCGAGAAAAAATCAAGTGCTACTAGTTCCTTAGAAAATCAAACCATAGATGTTATCCGACCCATTGATTACAAAAAACACATCTGATTAGCGAGATAGCTTCTTTCTGTAGGACTACGGTGGATAGATTTTAGAGAAATGTCGATTTTTTTCGAAATTTGCTAGCTCCGCCCACTTTTGGCCCCGCCCACAAGTCTCCACCCACTTTTCCCCACCTTCCCATTCCAACCCATCCATGCCTGGGCCACTAACCCGCCAATAACCACCAATGAATCACTTCTGACCGATTTATACATAGAGATCAAAGATCAAATTAAGAAAAACTATCTCCAGATACTATAGGGCAGCGCCCCTTCACATTCATGCTGCTGTCCAACTTTCTTCATCAACTGATAGCGCATCAAAAGTTGTATCGAAATATTGCTATGCCAGCGCCTTGATTATTCTCCTGGAATTATCATTTCATTTTGATCTATCATAAAGTTTTCCGAAAAATTTCTAAGTCCAGAACCGTTCTTAGATCAGCCTCTTGTGTATTTAACATTCATTTCTTCTGAAAATTTTTTGGTATAGCCCCTTCGAATATAAACACAAATACGGGTATCCGGACACTTCGTTCCCATTTTCCACAAAGATATGCATAAAAATGTACATTGGCTTTCTTATAAACCCTCGCTTATAAAAGAGTTCAAATCCCGCTTTTATCATAGAAAGAAAGAGCTCACAAAGTTGCATATAAATGACTTCATAGCATTTGCCCATCAGCGCTAGTCGCGGTGATATGCGGTCACTCTCGCACCGTAATTAGCAAATCTCGCACCTCGGCTGTCAATTACAATACCACTCTCATAACGTGCAAAATTTCCGTGAATGTCGCGAAATTCCGAAATTTCCGCGAACTTTCCGGAATTTCGTGAAATTCCGGGAATGTCGCGAAGTTTCGCGAAATTCCGGAAATTTCGCGGAATTTTCTGAATTTCGCGACATTTTCGGAATTTCGCGACATTTACGGAAATTTTGCACATTCTGTGAGCGGTATTGTATATTATAATTACAGGATTTAATTCTTTTAGCCTTAGTAGTAGTAACAGTAAATTTGATAGCTGCCACTGTTTGGAAAAATTAAAAGTTTGATTGTGAGCTCATCACAATTCTTATCTGAAGGGGAAATAGATTCTGATAAATATGTAATACATACAGTGCGTTTCATAACTACACGACACCTCTCAACATTTGGGATTTCCGGATTTACAGAAGAGATTGAGTACTCCAGTCAGTGCCTGTGTGATCCTTATATAGTAATGAATGAAATGACATCTCAATCAATATGTCTACTCACTTGCTTTTCTATATGTAGAGACATGTCTGTTTTTCCACTGTTTCATAAGTATACGACACTTTTGAACAATGCACTTTTGCGAGGAAAAGAACACGCAAAACGTGGTTTTCATAACTAATCGGGCTACCGGGCTCTTTTACCACTTCATCAAGTCTACTGGAGGCGCTTCTAACAATTCAAGCATATCTTCGGTTCAATATTGTCACATGCGTCCATAACGAACTGCTCCAACTTTTTCCATGGGTCATACTGTTTGCATCCGCTCAATACGCTGTTCAAGTTAATCTCCCGAGATTTTCTAAAGGATTCAAGACAGGACAGTATGGTCACCTTTACAGAAGATGCTCGCGATGCTAGCGGAGAACGGCAGTAAGTAACCAGCGTGCATGTTCATATGCGTTGTGCTGCTGCGAAACGCAGTACTGTTACAGGCGCTTTGTTAAAAAGATGAAGAAGATGACAGAAATTATGAGCCAGTGATTTGGTGGTGTAATATGATAGAAGAATTTAGTCTAAACGGGTAAAGGATCGAATGGCCGGAGTTGATTAAAGCCCACATCATTTTACCAAGAGAAACTTTAACGGAGGCTTTCCTATAATTTGAGAGCACTTTGCGTGGTTGAAAAGCCTGAAATTCGATGAGAAAATTTGCATAGATTACCAAGAAGTACTGGAAGGCCAACGACTGTTCTACTTCCGCCGCCGGTGACAGCACTACGTTTCGCAGCAGCACAACGCATGGACATGCACGCTAGTCACTTACTGCCGTTCTCCGCTAGCATCGTGAGCAGCTTCTGTAAAGGTGACCATACTGTCCTGTCTTGAATCCTTTAGAAAATCTCTGAAGATTACCTTGAACAGCGTATTGAGCGGATGCAAACAGTATAGCCATGGAAGAAGTTGGAGCAGCCCGCTATGGACGCATGTGACAATATTGAACCGAAGATATGTTGAATTTGTTAGAAGCGCCTCCAACAGACTTGATGAAGTGCTAAAAAAGCCCTGAGCCCGACTAGTTATGAAAACCACGTTTTGCTGTTCTTTTCCTTGCAAAATGTGCATTGCTCAAAAGTGTCGTATAGTTATGAAACAGTGGAAAAACAGATATGTCTCTACATATAGAAAAGCAAGTGAGTAGACATATTGATTGAGATGTCATTTTATTCATTACCATATGTGGATCACACAGGCATTGACTGGAGTACTCAATCTCTTCTGTAATCTCTTCTGAAATCCCAAATGTTAAGGGGTGTCGTATAGTTATGAAACGCACTGTATGTGTCATTGTATTGTAGAGATTTCTAAGCATGCTTCAAACTTTATTCATTTCGTGCTTCATCTGTTGTGGTATTGTACGCACAATAACCAAGGGCGATAAAGTCCTCTGGAGGGCAAACGTGAGCCAAGCAAAGCGAGAAGTGCAAAATATTGCATTTCACATGGATCATCTTCCAATCGTAGTCGTTGGACATCCGTTTTCCAAAGTGAAGCAAATACGTTTGGAACTAAAACTCAAGTTGATTCTACTAACACTAAAAGATAAAGATGCACTGACATCGTAGCAGGTCCTGACATGGGCTTCGAACCTGGCTGGGGATTTATCGGGTCCACTACAGTTTTCAATGCGGTGCACATGTATATTGCTTGATGAGATACCATGGCGTTTACCGTAGTCGTTGAACTGAACATAGACAGTTTTACAGAAGTGGATCTAAAGAAAAATTCTTACCAGGACTCGGACTTCGGAGTCGTACAAGTAAGCATACTTATCCATGACTGTAACTTCGACCTTGGTCTTTAGCCATCGTGGAAAGCCAGTATATGCAGAGATCTGGCAAAAAAATAGAGGATCAGAATTCAAGGCTCTTCACAAATTGCGCAATTTTTCAGGGCACAAAATTGGCAAGCCATTCAAAGTTTTGAGCAGAGGAGTGTTTTATCGTCTATTCATCCGCTTACCTGGCAAAGCAGAACAAGTAGTAAGAGACGGAACATTTTGCAAATGTGCTAAGGGCACTGGACCTTCTTTTATAGAGGCTATGAGGCATTTGGTGCAAATTTCGTGGTTATTGCAAAAGATGACGAAGCAAAGCGTTTTTGATTAATTTGGGTGTTAATGAAACGATCAAAAAAGATCGAATTCGAGAATTATTGGAACCAAAAAAAGCAAATAATTATGAGGTGCTCACTGCATGTGATGATTTCTTCGTTGGCAACAAAACTGGTTTGAGTCATGACTTTTACTATGATAACCCTTGCATACAAAAGGTACCGCTCTCTTCCATTTGCTTCCTTTGACTAATTCGCTCTTAAGGCTTACTGTAAATCCCTGACAGGGTCGATTTCAATAACAAACTTTATCTTTTCATGAACATGAGGTAGGTATAAGTACCGTCTATCTTCGGAATGCGCCGATTCGAGCGGCTCAAATCCCGCATGACCGCGTCGCTTGGGCTCTGCACTGCTTCGTAAACGTAAAATGGATTTTTTTCATACGCTTGAGCGCGACCAGATTGCTGCTTTAAAGTGGGAAATGATTAGAAGACACTATTGAGGGCGCGATGCAGAGTTCAAGCGATCAGAGAATGACCTTTTTTGCCACAAAAAACATCGCTGTTCTGTATCTTCGCTATATGAGTCAACATTCACTTGGTCTTATTTTGAGCAGATCAGAAATTGTGTTGCACTTTGCACTTATCGCAGCAAGTTGGCTGCAAGCAGTTGCTGCTAATGTCATTATCTATATCATAGTCTTAGTGATAGCTCCAAACACAAACGATTAGATTGTAGAAGGGAAACACACTTGAAAATAAGGCTTAGAAATAGCAGAAGTGCGCGTTTTCAAAAGACTCACTGGATGTTACCATCAAAGCTATGTTAGAAAGCGTTCTTACACTTCAAATGCAAGACTCATAGTTCACTGCGTTTCAGATCTGAAAATATGAATCTTCATTTTAAGTTCTGATGGTGTTTGAAACGGGCTTCAATCCTCATCTGTTATAAAGTTACTGCTTCAAAAAACCGCATCCAAATTCATAACTTCATTGCATCCACTTTTCTGGCCGGAATTCAATTATCAATGGCACTTCTTCGAAAATTTGGCTATCGTATGTAATAAATGTTTTCTACATTATGCATACTTAACTGTATTCTTTAAAGTTATCCAGACTGAGAGATTGGCGCCTAAATATGGGTAGCTCGGTCATTTTATTTTATGACCCATAATTTTCTTTTGAAGAAGTCAATCGCCGAAACTTTGCTCATTTCTGTAAGCGTAGGGCTAGGGCATCCTAATAGCAATTTTTGCTAAAACATCCAGCTGTTCAGTACTTAGAAAATCAGAAAAATCTATATTGGGACTTTTAGGCAACTGAAAAAATGTTTGAAAAAGTGAGAAGTTTTGAATTATAATTTTTTCTATCTCGCAAAATTTTTTATCCGACTTCTTTTCATTGTCTTTGTACAACTGGCTTGCGGCTACAAGATAGGCTACTTATCATTCATACTAACAAACTTTGAAAGAAATTATAAAATGTCAAGACAAGATTCTAGCGGAAGAACCTTTTTTGTTTTTCAATCCATATTATTCTGCCCGTTAGTGATATGAGTATAAATAAATGTGCGCTGCATTGCAGAAGGTTTGCTGCTTCTGATACTTTTACCGCATTCGGAAATGTGAATTCTTCCAAAAGTTATAGCAGTCAAAGTGAGAATTCGCAAATCGGCCATTCCTTTTGCACCAACCTAATAGGAGAAATTAGCAAAGCAATACCGTAATCATCAGAGTATTTCCTCTAACTTGTAAGTCATTGTTTTCTTTTTTAGGAATATAAGGTTGGTCCAAAAGTTTGTGCAGTTTTTGTAAACAGATATGCTAATTTGTTTCTCTTTCTAGCAAAGGTGCTGATGTTCCAATTTCTTTGATGGTCACTCGGATAACTTTAGCTATTTTTTACAATGTCCATTTCTGACTTTTGGAAACTGTGATCACTGTTGGAAAATGCAAGAAATTACATTCTTTGACACAAATTCCATGTTTGGCAACTAGAGTATCATTCGATGCCAATTTTTGGGTTTTGAGAATAAAATCACAGTATTTCTAGTTATCACAGTTTCTAAACGCACACAAATTTAAGACAGAAAAATTCGAGGATCAAATTTCTAGTCGGTTAACATCTTTCTGCTCTTCTAAATTACTGTTCAATCATAAATGACTTTTACTAAGTTAGATCACTTAAATGACCCGTCCGCACAAGTCGTGCGGGCCCCAACTTTTGACCATTCGTTACGGTTTGGTGCAAACTCATGCACGATGTCCTGGTACACGGTTGCAATTGCTGCTGGACAATTCTGAATGAAACTCCAACTGCTGACGCAGTTGGTTTATACGGGCAATAAAGTCGTCACACCATCTCGTCGGTGGTCTTCCGCTTGGACGTTACGAGAATCTTGAAATCCATCTAGCGTTCTTTTTGTCCATCTTCGTATTCTCTTCTCAATGTATGACCAGCCCATCTGTGCTTATTCTTCGATACGTACTCTGCTGGTTTCTAGACGTGATAGTTGTCTGAGGTCGGAGCTCCGGATTCCAACCTATACTGTCTGACTTGGTCGTCTTCAAAATTTTCCTTTCAAATGCTCTGTGTGTACACTGTGTGCCGTTCATAGTGCACACGGTTGCTAAGGTATCAACCCAAATTTCGGCTGCGTAACACAAGGCCGGGAGAATTGTCGCGTTGAAAAGATGAGCTGGCAATTTCGGATTAGCAAAATTGTCTCTAGCCTCTCTCAAAGGACCGAATTACGTCATATCGGATGGTTTTAGTAGCGAAATTAGAGCGTGCGTGCGAAAATCAGGTGCAGGACTCGCTACGAGTAGTTGAAGTTCCTCCTCCTAATCTCAGGCAACGTTTGGTTCGCAACAGAGCGTACGACAGAACCTGTGAAACAAGGGACTGCATCATCATCATACCACCAACAGGCTTGGGGATTGTATGTGCTCTGGCGTCATACAGTGCTGGACATAATTATAGGGACACTCTAGAAATTGTCGTAATTTTCGTTCTTGTCAATGAATCTGTCTGAAACTTTACTATGTTGTGCGCATGTCAACCTACCATAACCCCTCAAAACGGCTTCCAGTCTTGTTGAGTATGAACGGAGAAAAACGAAAAAATTTGAAAAAGCCCTCTTTGAAAGCTGGACATAATTATAAGGACACTTGATTTTTTTAAAAACTACTGCATCCCCTGGCTCTAAAATTTTTTTTACAGTTATATACCAAGATATGTAACATTTGCAACATTTGCGACCTGTCATCCTTTTCAAAGAGAAATGATTACTGCATTTTTTGCTTTCAAAAGCATCAAAAGTGAATGTGCTTTAATAAACAGCTGGTTTGTGGAGTTTTCAAGTTCTTGTTCATTTCAAATGATAATCATGGAATCTACTGACCCTTCTGGATAGATGAGGTGAAGAGCGCTTTCGTAAACTCTGCGTAATCGCTGATTTTGACGGACAGACTCCAACCTCAACACATCCTTGAAACGCTTTCAAACCACAAAACTCAGGTTGCAATGTCCACAAAGTGCATTAGATTTATTACATTGCCTACATGGGAATGCAGCTTTCGCAACAACTTTCAGATTTTCCCTAATGATGCGGTAGCGATTTAGATCTGAAATACTTTCCACGAGAAATCCCTGCGAGCAGAAGATTCGATATAACCCTAGATCTCCTTATTTCCCTTTGTGTTTCGTGTCATATTTCTCTCGATGAATGAGATTAGCTATGATTTTAAAGTTTCAAGCGTCTCCAGTTTTATCTCCTGATCTGAGTTGTCTTTGATTGTGCAGGGCGCTCCACTCACCATTCAATGGATGTCAACTGCGGCTGAACCAGAGTGCTCAATCTCGAAATTTTTTCCCAGTCATGCAAACGAGTTCATTGCTGTATGGCTGTCGTAATGGCTACATTACAGTATTTTCTGTTGCTTGAAGATCGAGTTCTGTGGTGCAAAAGTGCGTCAACCCTATGGTAAGCTTGGAGTCTGTCCGTCAAAATCAGCGATTACGCAGAGTTTACGAAAGCGCTGTTCACCTCATCTATCCAGAAGGGTCAGTAGATTCCATGATTATCATTTGAAATGAACAAGAACTTGAAAACTCCACAAACCAACTGCTTATTAAAGCACATTCACTTTTGATGCTTTTGAAAGCAAAAAATGCAGTAATCATTTCTCTTTGAAAAGGATGACAGGTCGCAAATGTTGCAAATGTTACATATCTTGGTATATAACTGTAAAAAAATTTTAGAGCCAGGGGATGCAGTAGTGTTTGAAAAAATCAAGTGTCCTTATAATCATGTCCAGCTTTCAAAAAGGGCTTTTTCAAATTTTTTCGTTTTTCTCCGTTCAAACTCAACAAGACTGGAAGCCATTTTGAGGGGTCATGGTAGGTTGGCATGCGCACAACACAGCAAAGTTTCAGGCAGATTCATTGACAAGAACGAAAATTACGACGATTTCTAGAGTGTCCCTATATTTATGTCCAGCACTGTTTACCTGATTACATGCAAGTTATGCGGGGCTGAGTACATAGGAGAAACGGGAAGACCACTGTGCCTGCGGATAAAAGAACACTTGGACGGGTTGCGCAAATCAAGGCTCTCAACACCCCTAGGCACGCATCGTAAGCTGCAGCACCACAACACAGAATTCGACGTCTCAGTGTCAATTCTGTCTAGAGAAACAGAGGTTGCGGCACGCAAAACATT